GGGACAGGGGTCACCTTGACATAAACCCCTTTCCCGTACTAATACTAGGTAGAGCTTCTCCATTCCACAAGATAGATGAATTAACATTAGAAACACAATTCATGATAAGTGTAATTGATTAAGGCCGAAATGTACATCACTGAGGCCGTTAATTAGAATCTCTTAACTTCACTTGCTGGTCAAACCGTATATTTTATGTGTGTTGAGTGTAAATCAGGTTATACATCGCCGGAGCATAAAATGAGCAAAAAGACAGAATTTTGGGCAGAGTTGACTTTTTTCGCACGTGCGTTGACTTTTCCCGCACGTGCGTTGACTTTCCCGCACGTGCGTTGACTTTTTCTGGAAAAGTCAAACCGACGTTTTAAACCTGTTTGGACGAGATTAGAAAGGGAAGGAGGCAAGGAAAAGGCTGGATTAGGGTTCTGAAATTGTTTTGACCTAAAGAGGGAGGCTAGGGTTTGCAAAAAGAGGAAGAAACAAAAGCTCCAAGATGTCTCCCATGGTTGTTCCTTCTCCTTCTACCTCCTTCCACTCCTCCATGAGTGGCTAGTCCCCTTTTTCTAGGGTTTTGATGAAACCCTAGCCATGTAATTATGTAGTTTTCTTTTTTGATTTTATATTATGTAAGGTTTGAACCATTGTATGGTGTTTTAGAAATTCTTTATATATGATTTTCATTATCTTTTCAAATATTTGACTTTCTGTGATTGTTGAATATTATCCATACATGAGTTTTCTATTCCTTCACATTCAAGGTATGAGACGAACCATGCTACAAGGAACGAGTCGTATCACTACCCTAGTTTAGAGTGAACGATTCGTATTGCTTGAGATGGTTCGTGCTCGTACATTGAATGTGATAATCTTCTTGTTAAATGCTTTGAGCTTGTAGTTGTGAAGCATTAATTCGTTCAAACCATAGCATAATTAATTTCAATTGGAAACCCTAGTTATGTGGTTAGTGGTGAATTCTCTACCCTAGGATTTTTCCCCAATTTAGTAAATCCAATTTCATTTATTGTTGATAATTTAATTCCTTAGTTTAATTTATTTGTTATTAAATTAGGTTATGATCATTCAATCATTTTATCAAAATTAATTTAGGAATTTAACAATTAAATTAGTTCAATTTCACAATAGTCCCTGTGGATCGATACCTGGACTTGCCATTATTCTGATAGAATTTGGTATAGTTTAGTATTTAATTTTGGTGTGTTCAACGACCCACCAGTAATCCAGTCAGAGTTAAGTTTGAATTCAGTCAAAGTGTGATGAATAAAGTCCCAAGAGATGCGATCATAAGCCTTCTCCAAATCAATTTTTATAACCATCCCACCCACCTTGCCTTTCTTATTTCTCAAAGTATGAATTATTTCTTGGGTAATAATAATGTTATCAGTGGTGGTTCTACCCGGTATGAAACTACTTTGGTTAGGACTGATAAGGTCAGGAAGGAGAGGTCTGAGCCTATTAACAATGATTTTGGTGATGGTTTTGTAAGTGATGTTACAGAGGCTAATGGGCCTAAATTGTTTGATGGTCTCAGGGTTTTCAAGTTTGGGAATGAGAACAATTTGGGTTTCATTAATCTCGTTAGGGATGGAATTCTTTTGGAAACAGTCAATAATGAAATGACAAACACATGGGCCAATAATATGCCAGTTTTTGTGAAAGAAAACAACTTGAAGACCACCATTTCCTGGTGCTTTAAAAGCTTTTATATTTTTTGCCAAATTTCAGTGTGGGTGATAGGGGCAAGGAGCCTATCATTATCCTCAAGAGCAAATCTGGTTCTAGCCATGTTAACCCAATTATTCAAAAGATGAGTGTCCTCATGCTGGAAAAGATTTCTAAAGCGACCCAAAATATGGTTTTTGAGATCAGAAGGGTTGGATATCCAATTGCCATTATCAGCCTTTAAACATGAATTTTCAACTTCCTTCTTTTGGTAATGGTAGAGATATGAAAGAATCTGGTATTTTGGTCCCCTATGGTGAGCCACTTACTTCTAGATTTTTGATACCATAAGCGTTCTTCTTGAAAGAGAGTCATGTTATATTGTTTGATCAGATCTTTCTCAAGGACATGTAAGTTAGCAGAGAAATAGTTAGCCTGGGCCTTTTGGATTCCTTCTATTCAAGCGAGAAGAGTTCTTTTCCTTTTAAAAATATTTCCGAAGATTTCTTTATTCCAAATTTTAACATTGTGAGTAAATAATCTGATAGCTTCAGTAAGATTAAAGTCCATATTGGCCCAAGAATTAATTACAACATCACTAAAATTGGGGTGGGTAAGCTAAGAAGCTTCAAATCTAAAAGGTCTTTTTGAGAGTTGGAGGGATGCATACCTTGTGTGTAGACCACCAATGACGAATGGTCAGAGTAGGTCCTTGGAAGAGTTCTCACAGTACTTTCAGGGAAGAAAGCTCTCCATTGGTCATTGCTCATAGCTCTGTCAAGCCTTTCCATAGTGTTTGCCAATCCTTGTTTGTTGTTTGTCTAGGTGAGTCGAGGTCCTACACTCCCCAAGTCAATAAGATTGTAGCTGTTTATCCTGTCAGTGAATCTTCAGGTTCTGTTGTGATTTTGGGTAGGGGAGAAGCTTCGGCGCTCACTTTGATTAGTGTAGTCATTGAAATCCCCAGCCACCAGCCATGGTTTGTTGATTCTATTCGCATTATCTTCTAGAGCTTCCCATAAAGACTCTCTGGCAGAGGGGTTAGGGCTGGCATAGGCAGCAGAGAGCACCCATTCCTTATAATCCTCTTTGTGGACAGTGGCCTGGATGTATTGGTTAGATACCATAGAGGCTCTTACATTCACATGATCGGTATTCCATAATAACCGGATGCCTCCAAATCTGTCAACAGGGTCGACAATGGTAGATGCTGAGAAGCCCATGTTAGTGAATAAATTGCCCATAGAACTGTAGGTAACTTTAGTTTCAAGAAGGATAAGAATGTTAGATTTATGAGTGTTAAGAAGTTCCCTCATGTTTCTTTTGAAGGTGTTGTTTCCTGCCCCACGACAGTTCTAGATTAACATATTAAGAGAATTCATAGATGGGAATGGGGTGAGGGGGTTTGCAACCAAGTTGGGGCAGATACTACGGATCCTACGATGATCTTGTTCTGGTGATCTTAGGGATGCCATCTGAAGCGAGTAGAGTGAAGGCCCTGGGAAGGTGCTCCAAGCTGGCTCTATTCTCAGCTTTATCTGTTCGATCCACCAAGTTGTGTCTACGCGATGAACGACTTTGATCCCTTGTTGTAAGAGCAGTCCCATTGCAGTGCCGTCCAACCTGTGGACTATCGTGGTTAGGAGAGTGATCTCTTCATTCACCATAATTGAAGCCTAAGTTTCGTGGTTTTCTCATTCAGGATTTACCAGGTTTCAGGGATGTGTTTGGCGATAAGGGAGATTGAGGGGGGGTGGGGTTGATGAGTCAGGATCCTCGGCCGTCCATTCCTACGGCGCGTCCTGCAGCACCCCCCAAAACGACGTCGTTTTGGGGGAAATTTCATTCAAAAAAAAAAAAAGAAAAAGAAAAAAAAAGAAAGACAGAGCAGATAAGCAGATGCTCGTATAGAGGATGGTTCAATATGTCCGCTTTGCACTTGGCGCTTTGCCAATTTGTCTCTTCACCATTACCATCGCTCTCGCTTTGTCGACTCGCCTTCTTCTCCTGATTCATCGCCGCCGCAGCAATCTTCGGAACGTCGTCGTTCTCGCCGTGTATCGACCGCGATAGCCACTGGTTCGTCGCCGACGAGTCCGAATTAGTGTTTGTCGTCTGCAGGTGGAGGAAGCTCCCATCGCCGCCGCCGCCGTAGTGGTGGTTGTGGCTTTGTTGCCGGAGAATCGCGCTGTTGAGCCACGTGGGAGCTCCAGCGGAGTGCTTTCCGGGAGCATCGGAGGAGGAGTGGTGGAGTTGGTCCGACGACATCCCGCGTAGAACCGCCGTGTTGTCTGCCAGGTGTTGGTCGTGGGCATGTGGGGATCTAATATCTTACACACTTTCTTCTCCCTCTGGTTTGCATCTGCATCTGCTCTGTCTTTCTCTTCTTTATTTCTTTTTTTTTTTTTTTTGGACGAAATTTCCCCCAAAACGACGTCGTTTTGGGGTGCCGCAGGATGCACCGCAGGAGTGGGCGGCCGAGGATCCGGACTCTGGGGTTGATATGGAGGTAAAAGAGATGGTGAGGGTGGAGGAGGGTTACAAGTAACATCCAGAGCCTCCTCCATAGGGATTTCTGGAGATTCACTGGCCACCTCTGGAGGTCTAGTAGATGTAGGTCTCAGGCTAGAGATAGTGACTGTGCAAGGAAGGACCCTGTCTTTACTGATATCTGAATCGTGCTGTGAGTTAGCAGTAGGCGTGCTGTGTGGAGTTGGAGAGGAGTTACTCTGTATACTAGCTAGGCCTTCAGATGGGCTGAAGTTCTTGTTAATAGGCTTATGGTTGATGGACTGTTGAAGGGTTGAAGGAGTGATAGGCCCAGCTGGGCTATTTACATGGGATGATGCAGGAATAGAAGCCTCTTTCACATGGCCCAAATTAGTGTTCTTTTTTCCTCTAGTGGGTTCTTCATCTCGAGGGTTGTGGTTTCGTGATATGTTCGTGGGGTAATGATGGAAGTGGTCATGCATAGGTGGAATATATTGCCTTAGAAATAGGCTTAGTAATAGTTTGTTTTCCTTCCTGTCAGCACATGTTTCATTAGTGGTAACATGTTTCATTATGGTAGTTTGTTTTCATTATTTTCGGCACGTGGTCGTAAACCACTTCTTCCATGATTTACCATGTCTTTTTTGCATTTATCTTTTGTAGACTGTTTTCTGACTTGGCTTATAAATAGCCTGGAAACTATTGAAAAAAGGAGGTAAGTTTAATTGCCAGCTTTGTTCCTCTCTCAAGCCTCTGTTCTTCTTCTTGCTCTCTTTCTCTATCTGTTTTCCTACAAATTCCTTATCATTTTGGTATCAGAGCCAGGTTACATGGATACTCGGGCCAAAAGCAACGCTGAATTTCGCAATGAAGTCAGCGAAATCCTAGCTCGACATGAGTCCAGCTTTGATCAAATTCATGGTACCCTCCAAACTGTGTTGACAGAACTTCAATCCATGCGAATCTCGCATAGCACTGCCCCCATCGATAACCCTTTTGCTCAAACCGAAACCTCTCAAAATCGACTGCTTTCCACCACTAACAACACCCCGGACCGAAATCATACCCACCTGAAACTCTCATTTCCAAAATTTAGCGGAGACGACCCAACGGGTTGGATCTATAAGGCTGAACAATACTTTGATTTCAAAAATGTTGCTCCCGACCAGCAAGCTCAGCTTGCGTCCTTCTATCTCGAGGGCATAGCTCTGCAATGGCTTCGATGGTTGACCAAGTTTAAGGGTCCGTTAACTTGGAACGAGCTAACCAAGGCCGTGTTGCTTCGCTTTGGCCCAACCGACTATGACGATCCCTCGGAAGCCTTGACCCGCCTCAAACAAACTTCGACCGTGGCTGCCTACCAAGAAGCCTTCGAGAAGCTCTCACATCGGGTTGATGAACTACCCGAACGCTACATGATTGGGTGTTTTATTGCAGGACTCTGTGACGACATACGCCTGGATGTCAAGCTCAAACAACCAAGCACCTTGGCCGACACCATTAGAGCAGCTCGGCTAATTGAAGAACGCAACACGTTACAAAAAAGAGGAAGTAGTTCCTTCCGTTGCCAAGTGGCAACCTTCACACCACGACCCACTCCTAACAACACAGCCGGAGTCCTAGGACCCCCACTCGCACCGAAGGTGGGCCAAACCCCAACCAATAGTCCAGTTTATGTCCGCCGAATTACTAGTCAAGAGGCACAAGAACGGCGTGAAAAAGGGTTGTGTTACTATTGCGATGAAAAGTTCAATCCAGGTCACCGCTGTCAAAGACCCCAGATGTTCATGATCGAGGAGTCGCCATTACTTGAGCCCACCATTATTATGGACCTACCTGAAGAAACTGAATTGACCGAGCCTCTTCCGGAAATCTCATTCCATGCAATAGCAGGAACGGCACATCCTCAAACATTCCGAGTGATGGGTAAACTGCAAAATAAAGCCGTGACTGTCCTCATTGATGGGGGAAGTACCCATAACTTCATCGATCAAGCCATAGTCACGAAATTTGGGCTGCCTGTAGCACGCGATCAGAAGTTGCAAGTAATGGTGGCCAATATGGACAAAATTGATTGCGATGGACGATGTCTTGGGCTTATACTCCTCATCCAAAACTTTCTGGTTCAAGAAGATTTTTATGTTTTACCCGCAGCAGCATGTCAAGTGGTCTTGGGAGTTCAATGGTTGGCCACCCTTGGGCCAATCGAAACTGACTACAGCAAGCTCACCATGTCTTTCCAGCAAGGAGGTAAACCTTATAGGTTTCAAGGCCTTAAACAATCTACACCCACCGCTCTAAGTGATAAGGAACTCCTCAACCTCAAGGGAATAGCCTTGTTCTTTCAAATCACTCTAAGCCACGAACCAGTTGCAGTCAATGACCACCCCACCGACCTCGACCAAATCCTCACTGAATTTGAGCATGTCTTTGTTGTACCCAACACCTTGCCACTGGCCCGAACCCATGATCACCACATTCCATTACAACCAAATCAAGAACCTGTGAGCGTTCGACCTTACTAGTACCCTCATTATCAAAAAACAGAAATTGAGAAGATGGTGAAGGAGTTTCTCGACTCAGGTTTGATCCGCCCCAGTACTAGCCTATTTTCCTCACCGGTATTGCTCGTCAAAAAAGCGGATGGAATTTGGCGGTTTTGTGTTGATTACCGAGCTCTCAATAACATTACAATAAAAAACAAATACCCGATCCCTGTCATAGATGAACTCCTCGATGAATTAGATGGATCTCGGTATTTTTCAAAGCTCGACCTCCGTGCTGGATATCATCAAATACGGGTCCAGGAGGCTGATATTCATAAAAATGCTTTTCGGACACATGACGGACATTATGAATTCATTGTGATGCCCTTTGGACTTACGAACACCCCTTCCACCTTCCAGAGCTTAATGAATGACTTACTGCGACCTTACTTGAGGAAGTTTGTTCTAGTTTTTTTTGATGACATTCTAGTGTACAGCAAAAATTGGGATGACCACCTCGGCCACCTACGAGCAGTTCTTCAAGTTTTATCTAGCAATCAATTGTTTGCTAAGAAATCTAAATGTTGTTTTGGTGTATTACAGGTGGCATACCTGGGCCATCTTATTTCTCTCGCCGGCATGGCCGTCGACCCAGAAAAGATCAAATCAGTTCGTGAGTGGCCTATTCCCACTTCGGCAAGAGGGATTCGTGGCTTCCTAGGCTTAGCCGGATATTACCGGAAGTTTATCAGTGGTTTTGGGGGAATTGCTGCCCCTCTAACTCGATTGTTATCGAAAGAAGGGTTCCAATGGACTTCCGAGGCCGCTGCTTCCTTCTCCCAATTAAAGGAAGCACTCACATCTCCACCAATCCTCCGCTTACCCGACTTCTCTCAAACCTTCGTGATTGAATGCGATGCTTGTGGGGTAGGCATTGGAGCTATTTTAACACAACAGGGCCAGCCAGTCGCATATTTTAGTGAAGCTCTTAAACCCTCGGCCTTAGCCTTATCCATACATGAGAAGGAGATGCTTGCAATAGTCAAGGCCATCCGCAAATGGCGACCTTATCTCATCGGAAAACCTTTCATTGTTCGCACCGATCAGAGAAGTTTAAAATATTTGCTGGAACAACGTATCACAACGCCGGCCCAAACACGGTGGTTACCAAAGATTCTTGGGTATGATTATATTATGGAGTACAAGAAAGGAAAAGATAATTGCGGTGCTGATGCCCTTTCACGAGTTGGAGAGCTCGAATTCCTTGCTGTGTCTTTGCCCATCGCAGAATGGTGGACTACACTCCAACAAGAGGTAGCGACCGATCCATTCTATGGTCAATTGCTGGACTCACTACCCTCACATCTCCAGCCACAGTTCTCCTTACGTGATGGGGTGCTTTTCAAAAAGGGGTACATCTATCTAAGTCTTTCTTCGTAGCTACTCCCTGCCATTCTTTCCGCACATCACTCTTCGCCAGTTGGTGGACACTTTGGCTATCATAAAACATTGAGCCGCATCAGCAACAGCTTTGTTTGGCCTCATATGCGTACCACGATCAAGGACTTCATCAAATATTGTGATGTGTGCCAACGTTGCAAAACTGATTGTTCGCGTCCTGCTGGTCTACTACAGCCGCTGCCCATACCCGACAAAGTATGGACTGATATTTCCATGGATTTTTGTGGAAGGGTTGCCACTGTCTCAAGGCAAAGATGTCATCATGGTGGTAGTCGATCGCTTAACTAAGTATGCGCATTTCATTCCACTCAAGCACCCATTTACTGCACTCACTGTGGCCAAAGTATTTCTCGAACAAATTGTTCGACTTCACGGCATACCCAAATCCATTGTAAGTGATCATGATAAAATTTTTATCAGCTCATTTTGGAAAACTTTATTCCAGTTGCAAGGTACAACTTTTTGTATGAGCTCTAGCTATCACCCCCAAACCGACGGGCAGACAGAAGTGGTTAACCGCACACTGGAGCAATATCTCAGGTGCTTCACGCATGAGCAGCCAAAGAAATGGTCTGAATGGGTTGCGTGGGCCGAATACAGTTATAACACTTCCGTCCACTCATCCACCAGAATTTCCCCTTTTGAAGCTGTGTATGGGCAGCCTCCCCCAACTCTTCTTTCTTACATCCTTGGCACAACCAAAGTTCAAGCCGTGGATGACCTCTTGCGTAGCCGGGACGAGATTCTTCATGATTTACATCGGAATTTGGCCATTGCACGTGACCGCATGAAGACACAAGCAGACCAACATTGTCGGGAAGTTGTTTTTGAGATTGGTGATTATGTATACCTTAAACTTCAGCCATATCGACAGAAAACAGTAGCTTTTCGCAACTCCATGAAGCTCTCGCCTCGATTCTTTGGTCCTTATCCAATCCTTGCCAAAGTTGGCCCTGTGGCTTACAAACTCAAGCTACCAATAGATTCCCAAATCCATGACGTCTTTCATGTGAGTCTCTTGAAGAAACACATCGGCCCAGTTGTGACTGCCTCCAACCGATTGCCACCTGTGTCTGACGCATTTGAGGTCCTTCTCCAACCTGAAGCAATGCTGGACACCCGTGTCATCCGCAAAGGATGTTACCGAGCGAAAATTGAGATTTTGATTAAATGGTCGGGTGCACCCATTGAGGACGCTACCTGGGAGAACCGTTGGCGTTTTTCAAAGACCTATCCTAACTTTATCCTTGCGGACAAGGATACTGTAAGGAGGGGGGAGTGATATGTTCGTGGGGTAATGATGGAAGTGGTCATGCATAGGTGGAATATATTGCCTTAGAAATATGCTTAGTGATAGTGTTTTCCTTCCTGTCAGCACATGTTTCATTAGTGGTAACATGTTTCAATATGGTAGTTTGTTTTCATTATTTTCGGCACATGGTCATAAACCACTTCTTCCATGATCTACCACGTCTTTTTTGCATTTATCTTTTGTAGACTGTTTTCTGACTTGGCTTATAAATAGCCTGGAAACTATTGAATAAATGAGGTAAGTTCAATTCCCAGCTTTGTTCCTCTCTCAAGCCTCTGTTCTTCTTCTTGCTCTCTTTCTCTAACTGTTTTCTCACAAATTCCTTATCATTTCGTAGTTCAGTAAATTTATTAGAGTTGGGATTAAGCCCATTGGACTGGGTTTCCCTATTGAGAGTGGGCCACCGAGTTCTCTTAGTGACTAACATTCATGGCCCAAAAGCATCATCTCCCTCCTCAGTACTAGGCAGATTATCGTTGCCCTGGTTTTGAGCCATTTGGACTTGTCCTGAACCGGCTAGTTCGCCTCTTGCCAGTAGTAGATCTGGGCTGGGATTCACGTGTGATACCGGGTTTGCTGCCTTAAATCGACAGAGTTCCTTCGGACAATCAACCTTGCCACAAAAAAAACAAAAGGAATGAATTGATTCGTATTCAATGTTATAACTGAAAGAAATATTGAGAGAGTGATTGAAAGAGCTAATACACTCTGTGATTCAATTGTGTATTAAACATGAAGAGAAGGCTCCATTATATAGGAGAGCTAATACAACATCATTATGATACTACAGCATGAAAGAAAACATATAGAAATAAAAAGCAGCCGAAAGTGGAAGGCACTACCTATACAACTAAGCAAAGCACTACAACAAATCATCTGATGGAGAAGCACTAACTAATATATATATTAAATATATATTAATGATATAAGCATGCAGCTAGTATTATTATATTAACAATAGCTTGTTTTCCAACAATAACTTTTCTTACCTAAAACAAATCGTGGGCAGAGTGGTTTGCTGAAATCAACTTCAATGCAAACTCTGGCAAATTTGCCTCTTGTAGCCATAGCAGTAGTAAGATCAATCTTGAGTGGCTTTCCAATTTGTTTGGCAATGGTGTAGAGGACTTTCTCTTGAAAGTATTCGATCGGAAGCTCGGGAAACCTAACCCAAACAACAGTTGTGGTTTCAAAAGCATCCGACGCCTTGAAATCAGGCTCCCATTTACGAATTGTGAGGTAGTGGTCCATAATAACCCATGGTCCACCCGAATACACCTACGCACAATCTTCCTGTGAAGAGAATTTAAACAAAAAATAATTATTCCCCAAATCAATGGCTGTGAAGTCGTCTTGTAAGCCCCATAAATTTTTAACCCTCGTACAGAGCAGCCGATAACCGATGCTCTTGCCCAGGAGCTTAACGATGAGGGTATTGACCCATGGTTGGTAGATCTGTTGCAAGAGCTTTTTGGGGAGTGAGATGATAGGTATCCCATTAGCAGTCCCCTGTGGTGGATCTTCATGGATGTTTGTATCTCCATCTTTATCCTCATCATCAGGTGAGATTGTGTCTGAGATCACATCAAAGTAGAAATCCGTACTCTTTGGAGCTGCTAGGGCCTCTTTGAAAGACTTAGCCTTGATCGCTTCAACTGGCGGATCTGACGAAGATGTAGAGGGGATTGTTCTGGGGTCAGACGCAATGCTGGTATCCATATCATTTTCCCCCATTGAAGTCTTGTTTTTGATCTTCTTATACTGTGTTTGGTTGGAGGATTTGGAGAGAGATTTGGAAAGGGAAAGGGAAAAGGTGTGTGAAACTATGTGAAATTTAGGCATATTTTATTCTCATTTCATCTACCTTTTCCATTTCCCTTTCCAAATCCCTCATCAAATCCTCCAACCAAACCCAGCATTAGTGTTACGAATCTAATGATCCTTTTCCTCTTGTGATTACCTAAGCGACGCAAGTCAGAGGATGTAGGAGAGCTCATTCTTTGGTGAATGTTATACACCTGGAAAAGGTAAAAAATGTTTTTCGAGTGCTTGAACAATAGAGTTGCTGTTAACTTGAAGACACCTTATTCGGGAAATTACACCAATATTTGGAGAAAATAATTAAGTTATATAGTGTTGACATAATTACATTAAATTCTCTTAAGGTTTTATAAATTTTAATTTATCTATATTAATTTTAATTTATTTAACTTTACTAAAAAAAAAGTTAATATACTTATGCCAAAATTGTAAAACTTATTACTTT